TACAGTATGTATATATACTGTAAATTACTAATTGAGGGTTTTCTATCCTGTTTATTTTTTCATTCAACATTCATGCAAGTTTTTGAGCAAGGCTGTGGTTAAATCATGTCCTAGTAGCCAGATGCTGATGGGTGAGATGAGCAATTATCACCAGAGAAACACTACTTTGTAGAAAAATGTAGTGAGGCAGAATAAGAAACTGGGAAAGCCAAATATTGCATGTGAAAGGGTTTAGTGAGAAAGAAATACTCAGAGTTGCAAATCAATGTGTCAGGTGACAAAAAATTTGAATCTTACATTTGGTCAACAGCTGAAATTTCAAGTAAGTGCAATGATCTCTCTCTGCATGTTGCAGGCATTGAGCTGATCTGTGAAAAAGACATTGATCTTGCGACGCAGGTTCAAGAGCTGCTGGAATTCCTTCATGAGAAACAGCACGAGCTGGAGCTTAACGCTGACCAAACTCACAAGAGGTTAGAGCAGTGCCTACAGCTCCGGCACCTACAGGCTGAAGTCAAGCAGGTGAGAGTTTTTAATGTCACTTGAGGGTCTTAAATGGGTTTTCAGCCATTCCATACAATCAAACTGCTAAACCAGCTTCTGGGTACCTTTAGATGGGCAATCATAATCCCCCTTTCCTTAACAGTATTTTGCTGACAGATTGCAGCATAACCCTTTACAAAGAATGAAGTACTCTGTTCCCTTTAATGTGCATATATTTGGCTTTGTGAATAGTTACAGGAAGTCTACACAGAACTGACCCCATAACTTCTCAACTGGAGAATCTGCCTCAAACTCCCTGTGTTCTGGGAATATATTGATTTGATTTGGCACCCAGACTTAAGCAGTTGTGGAGAATTGGCCCCAAACCAAAAAACAGCTGAGCTGTGAGGTCCAAGTATGATATTACAGTAGTTTTGCCTTCTCATTTATTGCTGTACATCTGTTGACCTGCAGGAATCTTTAACATATTCTGGGTGAGATAAAAAGTTGTCTGTGGTCTCTAGATCCTAGGACTTGTTTAGCCATCTTAGTGTTGTTACATTGCCTTTCTTCCAGATTTCATCCTAAAGTAAACAGTGGTGTTCTGCCTTCCTAGGTTTCCTCTGATATTTAATTTGCATGCCTCACATTTCTTTGTTTTCCTTTGCTACAGAGGGTAATGCTACACTTCCTACTTCCTAATCCATAGGTGGCTTTACACTTCAGTGTATGTCTGGATTTCAATGGAATGGTCTTGGTTTCATTAGGAAAACCAGGAACATTTTTCCAGACACCTGGAATATTCAGGTTTCCTTCTTACCAGTACATGGGGAGGGTTGTGTTGTTTATTTTTTCTTTTTTTTTTTTCCAAATACTACAAGGTGTTAATGAAAATGATTTGCTTCTTTGCTTACTAAAATAAAAAAATAGAGTACACTGAATGCTTGGTACGCATGATCATAGTTATTTTTTCTTCAGAAGTGAATATTTAACAATGCTTTATCAGAATTGTTCTATCATTGCTGGCAAAAAAATCCTTCATTCTCAGAGAACTCTCAAGCTAGAAGCTGGCAGCTCCAACACTAGTGCATATGTTTTCTTTCAAATTCCACTTCAGTGTGAATATTTTGCAATCCTAAATGAAAACAGCACAGAACTCTCCTAAATTTTTATTTTGAAAATGTAGTTATTTTGCATTTGTGATAACTGAAGGCCAACTCCTTGTGAAACTCCAGAGCTCATAGAGTGCTTGGTCTTTCATGTGACAAAAAAAAGACACTCTGTGATACTCATAACTACAACCTTAATATGATTATAAAGTGTATCCTTTTTTCCAGGTTTCCAAACTTTCTTATACACAACTTAGCTAAGCTTGGAGTTTTGTGCAGTAGATTTTTGATTAAGTAGAACCATTTTAACTTATGATAGAAAATTGAGAGGAGTCCTGTGTAACACAAATGCTAAAAATGCAGGTTATCAATATCTGACCAAGCATCACTAGCCTGCTCGACCAGGATGAAGTGCCAGTCAGTGCCTGGAGCTGTGCAGTGGCAGTGCAGCACTCTCTGCAGGTACCTGATGTTACTTGCCTCATTATCTGCTGAAACTTAGCTATTTTACAAACCAAAATCTAACCAAAGGATATAGTTTTAGGATTGAACTATCTAATACTTGCTGTGAGAGAAGAACAGCTGCCTTGAATTAGTATTTCCTTAACAGAGCTTGGGACCATCAGAGCCTATAGGACTGGGTGACCTTTCAGCAAACCAATAGTGAAGAATCATTGTATTTGTTCAGCTGAATACCATGGACTTTTTTGCTTATTAACCTATAAATTACCACAGCTGCAGTTTCCCTTTCAAAGAGGCAAGTTGAAATATAGCTGTGCCCTACCTATTTGGTTTCCTGAAGACGGGTCATATTCCCAACCATTTAGTGAAATTGGGAAATATATTGATTTTGGCTTGTAGTTCATCTCCAGTCTGGTCCAGATTTTCTTCATTTTCATTTTAGTGCATCTGAGATGATGGATGAGCTCATTACCAAATTCACTCTTGTGACTCAGTTGAGATGTAGTTGCTGCAGGACACTTACCATAGCTGTGGTTAAGGTCTGCTGACATAGTAAAATTGGTCAAGGCTACTACATGTACACGTGTTTGCATTTTGATATAATGGCTTATGGAAATACAAAGTCTTTTAACTGTCTCTATCTATTTAAGTCTCATTTACCAGGGATTTCTGCTTTGTATCATATGAACCAAGGGATTGAATGCCAAGACAATGAATCGAAGTTTGGGGCCATTAAAGCAGAATGCTTCCAAATGAGATGTTCTATGAACTGCTTTAGAGTGGAAATAGTATAGATCAGTGATTCACAAACTCTTTGTTATTAAGATCCTGGCTAAGACTGATTTCCCCTCATCTGGATCCCACTCATTTCCGATAGAAACAACAGAGCTTGGATTGCTTACGTAAAAGTAATAGAAGAATAGAATTGTGGAGGTCAGTTTAAGAAAACCCAGCTCTCTAATACTGTGCTTGCAGCTATCCCTATCCTCATATTTTATCTTTGTATGTTTTATTTCTTTTTTTAATGTGTTGAACTTGCCCTAATTGACTCCCAGATATCCTCACAGTGTCCCACTACACTTATTTCCCATGTTGTTTTGAACTGTATTCCTTTTTGTGTGCCTGCTATTCATCCACTTCTGCTGTTTGGCATTACATTTGCTTCCAAATGAATATTCCCAAATGTTGATGGGATGTAGCCATTTGAGAGACACTGAATGTATTTGTTTTTTTCCTAGTATAATGTAGCAGAGCTTCTGGAAACCTGATACAGTTTTGAACGTGGCTAGGATTGATAGAAGGTGTCCTTTCTGGTGGTTGTGTCTGTGGTAGCAAGAGCCTCTCAAAGAAGCTGCAAAGGCTTCAGAGATGTAGAAGATTCACTTACATTATTTTGCCTTTTAAACTTAAGTCTTTTTTTCAACATAACTTGATGGGCATCATTAGGAAGACCTTAAGTCTCTTTCAGAAACATTGAGGAAGGCGTTCTGACTAATCCAAACCAGCAGACAGAAACACTGTCACACAGAGCTCTCATTTCTGAAGGAAAGCTGCACAAGAGGTGCCTCACTTGTTATTTTTCCTGTACCATCTGATTCTGTGCTCATTGAAGACGGCAGTTTCAGGGTATGAATTTTAGAAGAATTTGGTACTAATATTTAATTACAGAGGAGCCATATACAGAAGTATATATGGCTCTATGTAGCAGTTTTAAGCAAATTGGAGTCAAAGGTGGGAGTTGTTTCAGAAATGTGGTGGTTGCCTTCTTAGACAACGCACATGTCACAGTGAAATTGTTCTCCAGTGGCAAGTGGCTTTATCGGAGGTGTTATCAATGTATTATTCCTGCTCCGGCAGGGGGACTGGACTGGATGATCTTTTGAGGTCCCTTCCAATCCCTAACGTTCTGTGATTCTGTGATTCTGTGATTTCTGCTTCTCCATTATAAAACAAATAGTGAGGCTTTTTAAGAGAGTCCTTGGAGATTTATTTAACTCCAGAATTGTTTAATCGCTGTTTCTACAAAGTTGATAAAATCTGTAATTTGTAGGAAATGTCTTTTAAGGACATCTTTTGCTGTTGGCCTGGCTGCACATTGCCAAATAATGATGAATCTATTAATACAGGAAATTATCAGAAAAGTGTCCTGGTGCTGTATTAGCAGTTTCTATACATATTGCAATGAAAAGGTATTAAGCACCATATAAGTGGGAGTCAATTTGTGAGCAAGTCTTGTAAACCAGACACAAATATGTAATTGCTTTCTTCGAACCATTTCACAGTCTGTTTCCAAACCAGGGCTGCAATGAAAGGCTCTGCAGATGACTGGGTTTTGCACTTAGGCTTAAGAAACTTTGTGTATGCAACTGAATTTTTTTCTTATTGTATGTAAACACACACACACTAGAGAAGAGGAAAAAATTGTAAGAGAAAAACACTACTATGGAAAAATCTGATGTAATTCCAAGCGAGGCCTTGACATTTGAGCATTAGACTTCTGGAAGTAGATTGGGGTCATTATTTGAGTTCTTTCAGGCAAAATTTGCTAGTGCTTGGGTGCCTATTGGGCCTGAAAGGGGGAGTGCAGGAGCCCCACAGTGAGCTCCTGAACCCACGCTCTGTGGGAAGGTGGGAGAGGTGCAATTTTGGGTGACAGCAGCCTTGGTCAAGAATAGTGGTGTAAGCGTTGCTGACAAGATGTAGTCCATGACAGCCTGACCTGAACTGCTTTACCTGAATATTTTTGAGTCAAGAGAGTTGTACAGAGGAATGCACATGTATCATTAACACTAGAGGAGACTTGGCTGCTTTCAGTTGTACTCAACCTTGTGCCTATTAGCTTTTCACTAATCAATTGCTTTGCTTTAAGACTGAGATTTCCGGTGTTTCTTCTACCATATAGAGACTCAGATATTTCTATGAAATCTGCATCAAAACCTCTGTGGCAGGCTTTGAAACTTTCAGGTCAAATGAAAGCTGTTCCAAAGAGGACCCTGTCATGCCCTGATCATGCTGTTGTAAAAAAAATAAATAAAACAAAGAACAACAAAAAAACCCCCAAACCCAACCAACCAACCAAACTGCTGCATTTTTAGCATACATACTCTATACAATATAAATGGCCCAAGGCAGGATATATCATGGTATGTAAAATGTGAAAGCAGGTCTTGCTTTATGATGTTCTCACTTCAAGTCTTTCCCAGATGCAGTGATTCTCTGGTTAACTTTTGGTACATTGTAGTAGGTAATAATGTAGCTTTCTTGTCTGAGGGATTATATAAAATGCCAGCCAAAAAGATTGCCATATGATAACCTGATTTCTTTTCCTGTAAATCTTTGTTGCATTTCCCACAGGAACAATAACACCTGCTGCTGAAAGAGGGAAAGCTGACAAATGAAATCTTCCACACTGTTGTACTGAGCAGAATGTAATTTTCTACAAATTAGGGTCAGATACCTGTGTACATGGCTCCCCTTTCTTTCTCTTAGGGAAAACTCATTTTCCTGCCCTACAGGGATGGCTATAACTAGGGTGACACATGATGTGGGGATGAAAACCAAACAACAGAAAATCCCTATTTCTTTTAGACAATTTAATGGATCGCTTGGTGAAAATGATGGCACAAAAGGGAAATTACTATGTAGAATATTGCAGCAAAGTCAATTTTGGAGCTTTGTAAATCATGAGCTAAATTTAGGGCAGTGACTGGGCAGTCAGGATTTCTTGTGCATCTGTGAATTGAATTCGGCAACTTTCTGGCTTTATTGGAATAATTTGACACCCACACAGGTAGAAAATAGGCTTTGAGACAACACAGCAAAGAACTTGCACGTGTGTTCTGGGTGCTAATTTCCCAAACGTGTCTTAAAATAGTAGAAAGTGTTGCTGCTTAAATGAATAGATACAGGCTTGATAGGTTAATTATGTATATTTAAGATTTGATTCTGCAGTCATTACAGTGTGGCTTGCATGTCTACAAATAATCTGGATATCCCTGAAGTAAAACATCTTGACTAAATATAAAATGCAAGACCTGGGATTTCTTCCTAGATTTGCACGCAGGTGGAAACTCCAACTGCATCTTAACTTTGTGTCAAATGAAACCAACTGTGTCTTCCTCCTTTTAACCCCTAAGCTCAGACTTAAGAAACACAGGCAAGTGGAGCAGAAAGGAATTGCAAGGTCCATGATTTCAATTGGAAATTTGATAGAGAGATCTCTATGCTTACTTTCAAATCTCCCTCATTAAGCTTTGTGGTTTTGCCCTGGGATATTTGCGTAAAGGGACATTTGTTTTGTGATCAAACCTTGGAAATGAAAGCTGTTTGCTGTCCAAATATCCACGTAAATATTTTGGGAGTGTAATTCTTCAAGCAATAACTTCAACAAAGATCTTTGCCCTCTAAAATTTTATGTCATTAAGTCCTTATCCTAGGATTTTTTTCTGCCCAATGATTCAGCCTGAGACCACACTGGCCAAAGTACCTTTTTGTTAGCCAGGCTGAAGCATTTTCTGGTCAGTGACTACATAAATGTGCGTACTGAAGCAGCCTTTCTATAAGCACATCCTTTCTTTACAGGTGCTTGGCTGGATCCGGAATGGTGAATCGATGCTGAACGCAAGCCTTGTCAATGCAAGCTCCCTCTCTGAAGCTGAGCAACTCCAGCGAGAGCATGAGCAATTTCAGCTGGCCATAGAGGTAACGCGAATAAGTGAACTTTGTTTCTCCTTCCCAGGTGAACATCATACAAATGGCTATCTCAGAGTAAAAACTTTAGGAAAACAACTTGGCGTTAAACTCACAATGTAGCCAGAGGCTAATAGTTAAATAAATTATTTATCATCTGCAGCTAATTCTTCCGCTGCCACGTATCAGCCTTTCCATTCATGAAAGTGGCACTCACACTCCTGATAATTTCTTTGGTAAAAAAATAAAAATAAAATTCACAAAGTGATCTGAAAATGACAAAAGTTTGTGAAGTCAGTTTCTTCCCACATCTGCGATTTGCAGATCATTTCACAGCGTTCATTTATTTATCTTTGTTGCTGGTTAATGCTCTCATATGAAATCTGTGTTTCATTCAACTCGACAGTAGAAGAGACATTCATTCAAACTCACATTCTTAAATAACTTTACTTTTAAGAAGAGGCAAGAGGGGTGATTTTTAATAATTGCCTTCAAAACTGAGCTTTTGCCCCGCTTGCCCTGGAGTAGCACATCTTTGACCTGACCCTTGAAAACTAATTGTGAGTCAATTCGTTTGCCTCACTCATGGGGCCAGGACATGGCAGGAGGAATAGCACCTCCTCTGAGCTGCTTTCCTGTGGATGAGAAGGTAGTGGAGGGCTGTGGACTCTCCTGAGTAGGGCACTACAAGACTCATAGTTAAGCTCAGTATTTATGTATCTTTGTCATTATAAACAAACCCTACACTCACAGGGTGTGCTTGCTCCCATTGTAAGAAAGAGGGGCCACTGCTTTCCCCTGTTCCTGCTTAACATGGGGTATATGCTTCCCAGATTATGCTCTTAACTTTTTACAGAGCAAAGAACAAGTTGGAAAAATCTCTTTCTGTGGTTTATATGTACTTGAAAAAAACCCAAAACTAAATCAAACTTTCAACTATGAAAAAGTATTTCCATAATGGAGATCTGAAGAGATGCCTGAATTAGCAGGAGGAAAGTGTCTTTATGTCTTCTGGTAAACGTTAAATATTTCAATATACATTATAGTGTTCCTAGTAAGTATAGAGTTTAAATCTCAGCTAATGACCTATTTTGATCCTGCTCCACTTACACTAAGGAAGGAGCAGCTGCTGCAGCTTCTAAGAGAAAAGGATGAAGTTTTCTATCAATTCTGTGTGAGCTGGCAGGTACCAAGCTGTGCTGACCACATCTTGGCAGCTGTCACCAGACAGCAGTGGGGAACAAGACATCCACTGGCTGTGTTATCGCAGCTTGCTGCCATTGGGGAAGTGCTTGTATTTGGTGGTAAATGCAAATCTCAGAGGGAGAAGAGGGTTACACCACAGTAAGGGGAAAATAAGTTTTCAAAGGGAGAAAGCACTAGATTAAATATTTAAAGTGTTTAAAGCTCAATATGGGGAAGAGATCAGCAAAGCACACAGGGCAGACTGTTCTCTAAAGGCATTCTAGATGTGGAATTGATTTTCAGTTTAAATCCTTTAAAGTCTATTTAAAACAAGTATTACGACTCTAACATCAGTAAAGCAGCTGGATATTAAATTTAACCAGTTGTTCTTGAACATCTTCCTAAATGTTTCTGCCAAGTATTAATCCTTTTTTTTTTTTTTTTTTTTTGCTGATAGCTTTCTCTACATTGCATTATTCATCAGTGTATTACCAGATGATTTCAAGCTTCTTTCCAGGTTCAAGGATTAGATCATATAAGTATCACATGAGAATTTGTCAGCAGCAGTTACAAATGGGATGCAGAACAGAGGAGTCTTTGGGAGATTTTAGGGCTTCTGTTCAGAAGATTAAAATCAAATATGTGACTAAACCATGCCTGTACACAGTTACTCAGGAGGCTGTGAAGGGCTTGGGGCTATTTTTCTCTCAGGAACCCACAGAGGAAGTTGTAACCACCACTTTGTTACTCTGAGAGGAGCTGGTTTGGTCCTGCCCCTAAAGTGGTTACTGAGTAAACTGGAGAACAGTGGAGAAAATGGCTTGACTTCTCCCCAGTTCTGCCCTTAAAGGTAGCATAGTGTAGCTCTAATGTGAGTGAACTGCATTTCAGAAACGTATCTTGTCGGGGCTGATATTTGTGATATAATTTGTGCCATTTAGTAAGGCATCTTCATGTCTTCTGGAGTTGGTGCTTTGTATCCCACGGACAGGACAATTACACACATGAGTAAAGCAGCAAATGCCAGCAAACTGACTGGCAAGAGTCAAACTAGGGTGATTAGGCCCATAGTTTGCCAACTCTTTGGTGTTTGCTTTTGTATCTGCAAACTGTGTGGGATGCAGTCAGCACTGAGTACAGGCTGGGTGGGAGCTCAGCACAGTGGCTGCCTACACGGAGTTGTCGAAATTGATCCACCAGAAACACCACCCTGGGCAGTAGCTGATCAGTGGAGCTAACCCATCTTAGCCAGTGCTCGCTTGTCCCAAGCTTTAATAATGTGTTACAAATGTGTGTGAATAATTGAAACTAAAATGCTTTGCAGAAAGAAACTGTTAATTGAAGATAACTCTCTCAAATGTTTCACTCTCTCGCATCTCCATGCTCACACCTCGCTCCACCTTTCTACCATATGTCTGGCACATCTGTACAACCTCTCTTTCCTCCCCTCATACACAGTCCCTCTTTCATGCCACTTCCTTACAGAAGACACACCAGAGTGCCCTGCAGGTCCAGCAGAAAGCCGAAGTGTTGCTGCAGGCTGGGCATTACGATGCCGATGCTATCAGAGAGTGTGCTGAAAAGGTGGCCCTGCACTGGCAGCAGCTGATGCTGAAGATGGAGGACAGGCTCAAACTTGTCAATGCCTCGGTGGCCTTCTATAAAACCTCTGAGCAGGTGAGCTGAACAGCGTCGTATCTGTGCCATGGCATATTGCTACAGCCTGGGATTTAGCTCCCAGTGTGTAGTGTGAAGGTCCTGCCTCTCACCAGGATCAGTGGTGCAATCTCTCCACTCTTCCAGGGTATTGAAATGTTCCAAATACCTGCTCTGGTAATACCACTAAGGAGCAGTGCTCATTTTTCTCCCTTCTCCTTGGGTAATCCTAAAAGTGGGAACAATGTGACTTCACTTGAGCCCTGCTTGTCCTTAAATCTGCCTTTTGTCTTTTTACATATGTTTGCATGTCTTCATCCACACATTTTTATTGGGTGCATGTAAACCTTTGTGTCACCTGAATAGGGCCAGTGTTGAGCCCTCAGGTGACTCCCAGCTGGTAAACACCAATGTGAGCACACTCTGCGATGTAGCAGCGCTGGTAGATGTGGATTTTCTACTCTTACCCTGAGCGCAAAGGGTCTTCTGCCAATCCCACAGCGCTGGCAAAATTAACTGAAAGGACACTTGCTCCATCAGCATAGCAGTGCTAAGCCACACATGGAAACCAAAGTTTGAACTAGTCAAAACTGTTTCTCTGACAAGTATTGTAAACTCAAACCAACCAAGGAAAAAAAAACCAGCAGTTTGCAGTAACTTTAATCTTAATGTTTTCAGTGAAGCAATGTGATTCTTGAAGGTATCTTCTTACTTATCCCCTTTCCAATGGGAAGAATTTCTGAAACCCCACCATTTTAGTTTCAGTTTTTCATCATATCAGAGTTTTGAGGAATATAAATCTGCTTTTCCTTGAGAACTGCTTACAATTAATTACTTGTTACTTTGTGAGCAGTACTAGCCAGTGTTTCACTAGCAGTTAAACATCACCACGCTAAAAAAGAAGCCAAGATATGAAGGGATTTCTCTTAAATCTATCTGCAACACAGATAATTACAGCAGTTGACACAACTTTATTTCATTCCAGGTGTCCATGAATTGCAAAACCCATTCCAGTTGGCTGCTGGTATGGTGGGATTATTCATCCCTTGCACAAACAGGTGCCATTTATATCGTAGTCGGTGAGAATTAGTGTCATAGTGTGGATACTTGAATAGCCTTGCCTGGTGTAATTTACTGCAGCCAGGCAGTTTGTGTTAGCATGGACATTGCAGGGACCTGTGGTTTTACACAAAAGGCAGCAGTGATTTCCATTTCCAATTTTCTGTTGTTATCACACAGTTAGTTCCTCAATTAGAGAACCAGACATGGGAAGTTTTTCAGAGCAACTTATAATGAGGCTGTAGATGATTCTCAGGCTGCTTTTTGGTGTTATTTGTTTAATCCATTTTTAAGTTTGTTAAAGATAAATTCATTCCTCATAAGGAAAGTCTTTCACTGTGAAGAGTTTCAAACAGATTTACAGTCCCTCATGCATTCAAAATTGAAATGAATTACTGCTGGTGGAGGATTGTGAGAACTGAAAACCATTAAGGGATTCATTAGTGCTTTAGACAGTCAAATGTGCTGGCCAAAATATGCATAGCCAGTAATTTATCAATTCAGTTTCTCGTCCTCTTTCCAAGTCACAGACAGGCATACTGCAGTGCCCACCAGTTTATTCATCAGTTGTGTTTATTCAGCATATGTTTAAGGCAAAGATTATTCAGTCTTTGAATCCCCATGCACTCACTGTTGCAAGTAGTTTGTCGTCTTCTCTTGGGCTGCACGACTGAACTACAGTCCTTAATGGTCTGCTCCCTGACTGGATGGCAGTGGGTTAAGTAATTTACTACATCGTGAATTCTCCAAGTATCTAGAAAAAGCAGCTAAAAGTGTGGAGAGGCTGTCACAACCAGCCAAACTTTTTCATGCCTGTATTTCCCAAGCATACTGTGTTTTTTATATAACTGGTGGAGCACTGGCTTTCAAATAGCTCAGTTTCTCTCTAACTTCACTGACAGCCCACTTTATATTAATTTCTCTCATTGTCTTAACAGAAAGATGATATTGCATGTGCAGGGACCATCTTTTCTGGAAGGATGTAGTCCAGGCAGTCCATCTACTTTCATTTTTTGAGGTCACCAAAGCCCAATGGAATGCCAAAGCTTTCAAGAAGTAAAATAGAAATGCTTTTCTGTGCCTAGATAACACATGAGGCACTCACTCTCCAGTGAGTGTTTGAGGTTGAATGCTGGTTTGCATCCAAGCAAGAAGATGATTTCAGATTGTCAAATGCATAAGGTCCTTGAACAGCCTGGCAGCAGGATAAGTTAATCAGTTCACCTCAGCTCACCAGTTTTAAAATGGAGTTTGATGTATTCGGAAGTATTGATGGGTGATGCTGGAGTCTCTTCCAGACTATGCTCTTAATCATGTGGGGTCCTCTGATTTATAACTGTTTTCATATAAAAGTTGCAGGAGTGAATGAGAAAAGGAAGAATGTGGTTAGCTGGACCCCAAGCAATAACTGACTGGATCCTGAGTAATCTCAGCAGTGGAGTGTGTAGGAAGAGCCCTCTGGGAAAGAAGAGGAAAGTTCCAAATGTACTGGAAGACTTTTGCAGTTTTTCAGTGTCTGCATAGGCCACTGAGAGTATTCTCAGAATCTGCAATGCAGAAGACTCAGCCTTGTCCGAGGCGACTGCACACACAGTTTTCAGACTCTGTTGGTTTATTTACCTTGTTCCCATTATTCTACCAAGACAGAAGATACTTCTGTAAGCCCTGTACGTTTGAACCACCTGCATCTACCTAGGTTGCAATGCTGATTTAATGTCTATTGCTTTCTATCAGTCTACAAAAGCTGTATGGGGAGCAACTAATATGCAGCTGAAGAGAATTAGTTCCAGGTTCAGACTTTGTTTCAGGAAAGTATTTAAGCATGTGTTTTTCTTTAAGTATGTGCTAAGTCCCTTGACTTCAGTGGGATTTAAACACATCTAAAGCATCCTTCCAGAATAAGGATTGTTTCCTCAATGATCTACAGGGGCCAGACTGACCCCTGCCTTAATTCAACCTTTTGAGCTTCACCCTATTATACATTGGAAGAGAAGAAGGATTTATCACCCTTAAACCAGATGCATTGCATCCCAAACGGTAGAGATCCCTATAGGTAAGAAGAACTGCTCGATCATTCTGTCCAAGGCCTGTTTCATACCTAGTTATCCTTCATGCCATGGCTCATAGCCAAAAATATTTAGATTTGAAATGTCATTGGTCATAAACTTTTACTGGATGTGTTCCTCCTGATTATGGTTGTGGATAACTGAATTGTGCTATGGGCATGTTCCAGGTGTGCAGCGTATTAGAGAGTCTGGAGCAAGAGTACAGACGGGATGAAGACTGGTGTGGAGGTCGAGATAAACTTGGACCGGCAGCTGAGATAGACCATGTCATCCCTCTGATCAGCAAACATCTGGAACAGAAGGAGGCTTTTCTCAAGGTCTCATTTTAGTTCTCTAATAAATCAGGAAAATTTCCCATTAAGTAGTCAATTTAGAGCAGTGTTGGTGAATTTGAGAGGAGGCTCTGAGGTGTAATTCCAGCTCAGCTACTGGTTGACTGTATAAACCCTAGGCCAGTTTCACACTTGTACAGTGGGGGTAATAAGCATTATCATCAATACATATCTCAGAGTGATGTCATCAGGACTAATTGGGAGGTATTTGCATTGTAGTTGCAAGATTTTCAGTGTTGTGCTGGTTCAATGTCTCAAAATTGCATATGATGAGCATTATAAATGACAGGTATTATACAGCAATTTGTTGTTGGCCTATACAAACCACCCAGCATTTCAAATTCTCTCCTCCAAGCCAATAACTGAAGAACTACCAACAACTGTTGTGTCTCTGCAGGGCAGCACCAGGATGGAGATACAGATTTCCTCCTGCCTTCCAGGTGCTGCTTTGTAAGAACGGTGGAGCTGACGGGCTGACAAGTCAACTGACAGCCAGCCTCCCACCTTCCACTAAAACTGATATACAACATGAAACTACACTTGCGGGCAAGGCTTAAGAAATTATGCCTCTAGATTGTACATTTTTTGAAACAATATGTACTTGCCTTGAGAGATGGGTTAGCTTTGGTTAGATTGAAAATGTGTGATGTACTAGCTCTTTACTGCTAGTTGTTTTATTACTGTCATTAATTTGCCTTAATATATAGTCAGCCACCATATTCAAAATGACTCATGTTTTAATACATTTATGAGGCTGTTAATTTATTGTCTGAGTTTATGGACTCTTAGCTGAAGCTCTCATGTTCCCAGATAAAAGAGAACTTCCTCCTGCAAAATAAGCAGAGAACTCCCTTGAGTACCCTTTGCTTTCTTTGCTCATCTTTACTGATTCTTTTTGGCGGGGGCTGTTTTCCTTAGGCCTGTACACTGGCACGAAGGAACGCTGAGGTATTCCTCAAGTACATCCACAGGAACAATGTCAGCATGCCTGGAGTAGCAAGCCATACAAGGGGGCCTGAGCAACAAGTGAAAGGTTGGTGCACTGAAGCGTTGAAGGGTTTGTTTGCTTCCCCCTCTGCTGTGTGGTCATCCTAAAGTTTGTGAACATGCTGAGAAGGCACCTTTTGCTTTAACATCTAAAAATACACAAACAAATAAACATATATCAAATACAAGGTTTAGATGCATCCTGTTGCCGCTGAGCACTAGAAAAAAAAAAGAACCCCAGGCTTGTTTGTCCCTAGGATGCATCTGCTATTTTTTTGTCCCTGGAATCCTGTTTGATGTCCTACCACATCAGACAATCGCCAGCAAAAGTATCTGCCTGTAGTTAACTTTCCTTTGGTCAAAAGAGGACTGTTCACAATCAGATGCTACATCAGAGATGTTTGAAATGTTTCCACCCCTCTGCTTAATTAAACAGTTGTTAATCTATGCCTAGCTGGTGCTGCCAGGTACTGATAAGAATGAGCAAAGTGATTCTGCAGAAATAAACCATCTTTCTTATTATTATTGGCTTTCTTACAAGATGCAGAAAGACAGATTAGAAGCAGTGCAATCATCATATATGTGGGAAGGATGGGCACTTTGGTTATACACAGAAGAGGAAAATGGTGCTACTGAAGGGATTATTTTCCTTTCTTTCTTTTGATATGAGTTCTTCAATGTTAGCACGACTTTCCTCAACTTTCCTCCGCTAATGTGTCAAATGCCTCTTGTTGTTGTGGACTTTTGTTCCCTACAGTTGAAAATCATGGGAAAAATAATTAAACCCAGACTCAGCAAGCCCTTCAATATGCGTCTGACATAAGCTTGTGAGTGTTCCTCACTGAGCTTGTTCACAACAACTCACTTATATAAACATCAGCTTGTACATTAGTCTTTTTCTAGGCTAAATGTGTAATTCTTATGTTTGGTGACTGTTGACAGAAAATATTTGAAGTGAACACTTTAGTTCGGGATAAAAGCAACATTTAGTAGGATACTTATTGTGCTTCCAAAGCAAAGTCATTGACACAGAAAAGAATTAGTTTTATTTGGCATAAACTGTTTATGCAGAGACCTGATCTAGAGCACCCATGACAAGCTTCAAGTTCTTCAGACAAAGTTGCTGCTGTCCTCAGCAGGGACTGGGCTAGATTTTGCAATTAACTTCAGTGTTACAATTTTTTTGACTGTAATCTGTGTCACACTTGTGCGTGGGGAGGGATACTTTCAAACTGGTTTACTGCCACCGGAGTGGATACATAAGCAATGAATAGCAGTGCATTCTGAAAGGGCTTATGGTGAGAATGGTTATTAACAGGCGCTGTAGATGACCGTAAATCCCTGTAAGTGGTTGAGAAGCCAAACTCAATGTTTTAATATAAAAAAGTGCAGCTGCGTGTGCCTAAGCCCCCTCTAGCGGATTCTCTGCTTTGAGGATGAGGCAGGAGGGGACCATGCCTCACTGCCGAGGTTGCTACCTGAGCTTCATACCCAGGCATAGCTGGGATGAGCCACGCTGCTGCCAGCTACACAGGACTTAGCTCAGGTTAATTAGAAACTAAGGTTTATGTTAGTATAGTGTAAATCTCTTGTACTCTCTGTGTGTGAAGTTTTCAGTTAAACCCACGGTACTTATTAAAGACTGAAATCACACCTTTTTAACATGTTGAAACAGTCTGGCCAAGCACTCGTGTTTTGAAGGAAAACACGTATGTCCTAGACTCAAAGGAGCAGCAGGTCTCCTGCCAGTCTCTTCCTGGGGGTCTGCCACTTCCCCTTCACACAGAAAACAGTGTAGAGGTCCAATACCAGGCCTCAACCCAAAATTGTACTGCACAGGGAGCACAGGGGAAGTTGTCAGGCACTACAGGTGTGCAAGAAACCCTACCAGGTATGTAATACCTGACATGGGGGCTCAGGTCTGAATTAAATTCGGTTGTGAGCAGAGTTCTGCATGGAACAGCAGGCCTTGGTGCCAAGTGCTCGGTAGCCTGTGGTCAGGGCAACAGACAAGGTAGTAAAAGGGCAACTTCTATGTCAACCAGTACCAGACCCCTGAAATAAGCAATAGAACAAAAGGACTTGAAATCATATACCCCAGTGTATTTAGTGGGTTAAATCCCGAACTCTGTTCTAGCATCTTCTGCTTTACCAGATAGCTCTCCAACTGCACTTTTTTTGTGTTGTGGGTTTTCGTTTGTTTGGGTTTTTGTTTAGGTTTGGGTTTTCTTTTTTATAAGCAGCCCCTTTGAATCAATGCTTGCTTTTAAGAAGTACAGTATCAGGGGCTCTGCTCTTTGGAATTGGGTACAGACAGAGTGAGTAAATGCAGATTTTTATGAGTTATTTCTGTATGCACTCCCAGAATCACTAATCTTGCAGACATTTTCCTTTGCCCCACAGCCATTCTAAGCGAGCTGCTGCAAAGGGAGAATCGGGTCCTTCACTTCTGGACCCTGAAGAAGCGAAGATTAGATCAGTGCCAACAATACGTTGTCTTTGAGCGCAGTGCCAAACAGGTAAGTGTACTTTGACTTTCTCTCCTGGCAGTGTGTAAATATTTCTTGTATCCCTGTAATGCCTCTGTATGGGGTTCCTGTTGCAATCTCAAGTTGTATTTAAAAACTTTTGAAAACATGGCAAATGTAGATTTTTTAAAACAATTTAAGAAAATGCCAAAGTCCAACAACAAAACTCAGTATTTTTGCCAGGATTTGTTCATTTGTTTGAAAATAAATGTGAGCAAGCTTGTTTTGTTGAGCTATTACTGAATGAGAAAACTACTTTCCCTGCTTGCAGTTTTATCTCTATATAGGTAGAATTCCCTACATTCCTTTTTCTCATAGGAAACATCCTTTTGTATCCTCTCTCACCTGCTTTGATTACTGTATTCTTTTTATGTGTTCCTAGAAAGTGTTTTAATATACACAGTATTAAGTCCCAATGGATTTAACATCCTTTGTTTAGGATATTTTTTTTTTATCAGAGGATTAGTTATTGAAATACAAAGACTATTTTTTGTTTTGTATTTCCTTTGGTTGTTTTTGACATTCACAGGCCTTAGACTGGATCCAAGAAACAGGCGAATATTACCTCTCCACTCACAACTCCACAGGGGAATCAGCAGAAGAAACTCAGGAACTCCTGAAGGAATATGGGGAATTCAGAGTACCTGCCAAGGTAAACAGTGACTTTAATCTAATCATGGCATCTGCCTTAATCTGTGTTTACGATCCTGTTTCAATGCCTTGTATCTCTAATAATAGTCCCTTGATTTCATATTTTCCTCCTGACATTCCTAGACCGGAAGATAAATGTCTTTTGATAAATGTGATCTTTCATTTTTAACAATACGTAGGCACAAAATGGAGGTTTTCTCCCCCTTAGTCTGTACTGGTTATGGAGCATTTTTATTCTGATCAGAAGGAAGAGAAAGTCCATTGGTTCAAGAGTTCATAGCAACCTAATAAAACATACCCTAATTCCATCCTCAAACAATTGTACAAGAGTGGTATAGAGTAACTAATTGATCTGAAGATATCCAAGGTCATCTTAGGTTCCCCGTCTGTTTCTTCTGTCATTACAACCACAATTTGTTTCATTAATTCCAGCTGGGTTGATCATAGATGATCGTTTATCTCATTAGAAATAATCTGCTGATCCTAACAAAATACTTTAAATAAATGGGTTTGTAAACTCTGGGGTGAACATTTTTTAATGCAAAGCTGCATTACCAAGAACCTATTAATTTATATGGAACAATTCTGAGAAATCTGGTGGGGTTTACAGAGCAATGGTGATTGGATGTGCTTCAGACAAATTAATTCAAACCATAGGTAATTCACAGACAGTGAATCCACAGGGGTATTAGCAGTCACTGATAAGGATCTAAATTGCAAAGTTGGACTGCAGCAAGGCCATGGCTTTGCTATTATGTAGCTTCATTTCGTGTGTCCTGAAACTGTTCTTTTGTAATCCATAAATTCCTCGTTAGGCTGTCTATGTTGCACGGGTTTGATTCACAGTCTTTGTGTTGTGTTCTTCTTGTCCCCTTCCTTTTTCTTTAGCTTGCATGTTTGTGAAAATGGGAGATAACTAGCAGTGGATGGAAGTTAAGTTAATCAGACAGGACCTGTCCAAAATTCCTTTAACAGTACTTATGGCCTGTAACCATCCATAATCAGTCTGCCTGAAATCATGTTCCAGTTTATAATTTAATTTTGATCAGAATTATGCCAATTCATCCTGAAATTTCCAAGCTATTTCTACTGTTGACTTAGCCTAGGATTGAGCTTTATACCTTGTTCCCTGTTGACCAATACTGTCCATTCCTTGCACTGACACATGTACTCTTGTTCCCTAGGGCTCTAGTAAATCACTTTCCTACTCTGACCTAGAATATTTTCACTGTCACATGCAATCTGGTAAATGCATGTCACTCCCAGACTGATGTTATTTTCAAATTGAGCTGTAGCTGAAAGCCTTCCTGGTCGCATAACTTCCTGGCTAAACCAATTGTTTGGAAAGCAAAAACACCAGGAGCTTTTGGGAATGAAACACCCTTTAAATATGACAGGAAGTCAGATTTTTACTTCTCCAGACTTAGCCTTGCTAAAGTACTCAATTTGTTAAGATTACCTCTGATTCAGCTGTTAATTTATTTAACTGGTGAAATTTCTTTCATTTAATTTTATGTTTGAAATCTGCTAGGTGTTTTCTGGTCTGACATGCATTTGTCCATTTGGGGCGAGATTGCTGATAATGTCAGGTACCTGACAGTGTGTCTTGCTTCAGGCAGAGTGGAAAGTTCTCCCAGTCTCTGAAAAGCAGCTTGCCAGTACCTCTGGGTTACAATTGATTCTCCTCTTGCTTTTGAGGATTAACATGTGTGTTAGAGCTGGAGGGCAGTCTATACAGTTGATATCTCTGTTTTTATAAGCATTTTGTACTTCAGTTGGCTCAAACATAGGGTCCAGCCACCTTTGGTATGTGAGATACATTAGGAATCTAAGCTAAAATTTATAACTAGCTCTTTTGTGCCAAATTTGTACCAAGTCCCTCAGCATGGAAAACTATAGTGACTAGGGGGCAGTTAGATCCAAGTGGAACAGAAAAGATGTCTGGAGGGTTTGGAGGCTCAGTATGTATTTTGGAGTTCAGGCATCTTTTAGTTTGTAATGCTCTAACTGGAACTAAAATACTGACAGGGGATTTTATAGTGGACCAGGAATTTGGATTTAAATTCTGTTTGTTTCTGAAACAGAGTAGTAGTGACTCAAACTCACTTCCTTGTGGTGTATTAATGACCTGTCTACAGAGGTCTGCAGAACCACCCAGATATAGATTCAGAGTAATTTGGTGTATTTTATGGGGCGTGATTTTATATCCTGTCTTCTACTCCAAGACTCACAAAAAATAAGGTTTTGGTTATGGGAAGGAGGCATGTCTAACTTCCAACATGTTTTCCTTATGTGTTTGTGTGTGTGGTTTCAAAAACTTGACTTTTTCTGTCTCCTTCAGCTTCATAAGTGTCCTTATAAAAATGTCGTTCCTTTCATGTTTTACTGGGCAAAGTGTAAAGCATCTGATTCTGTATAAGATGAAGTACAGGCACCTTTTAATGATGTATAAAGAATTGAGAGCTGCTTCTGATTGCTGTGTGAATTAAAAGCAATAGAAATAATAATAATGCAACATAACCGAGGACCATATTTTGGGCAGCAAACAAAGGAGAAAGTGAAGCTTCTCATCCAGCTGGCTGACAGCTTTGTAGAGAAAGGACATATACACGCCACTGAAATTAGGAAATGGGTCACCACCGTTGACAAACGCTACCGTGACTTCTCTCTCAGGATGGGGAAATACCGCTACTCCCTGGAAAAAGCCCTTGGAATCAATACAGAGGTACTGTAAGTCCATGTCCTGCTGGGCTTTTAAACCAAAGCTGCAAGTCAGAGGGGGAAGTGAAGGGTGAAGGATATGTTATGAATGCTGCAGGTTATCGTGTGTCCACCAGAAACACTGAAAACCAAGCCAGCCTACCTAAGGAAGCTCACAACTGTTTCTGAAGAGAAAAAGGTTTTTTGTGGCAGGTCAGTGATGTGAGGAGGAGACAGATAAAGATGAGAAAGACTTTCTCAGAAAAATGTTTGCATCATTCTCCAGGAGACCATACAGCTACTGGGAAGGAGGGGAAACACATTATTGGAATAAAAGTCTGTTAATTTTTGCATAAGCCATAAATCCTCTTCCTATACTATTATTTTGAATCAAACTCAGGCTTTGACTGTAAGTTTCCATTCTCTCGTCCTTTAACTCACCAAAAAAATGATCTCCAACCTTGTGTCTGAGCTCTTTTAGGTAAAATAGAGCATCACAAGAGAAACAGAAATTAGAATCTCCTGTTATTCTCTGTCCACAGTACTAAGGGCAAGTGCCAAAGGCAGAAACAGTTAAAGACCTTTCAGTCGACCATCCTTCAAAATTCAGTATCAAAGAAAGAGGAATAAACTCCGTCACCCGCACCCTCAGGATACCTTAAGTGTACCGTTCCTTCTAGGGCCTCTGGTTTACACGGAGTTACTAACCACAGTCTGGAAAGGTATTTCCATGGCAGAAGGCCACTGGAAGTTGAGATTGCCTCTGCATAGTCTCCCACTTTGTCAGACTATTTATGAAGTCACATACTAGGCAACTAGTTTAGATGGGAAGGAGTAAGGTAAAATTTAGATGTTTGTCATCAATACTTGTTTCTGGATAGGAGTAACAGTGAAGACTATTGTAAATCTCATAGTTGGTGTTTTTTTTAAGATTTCTGTCTCACCTTCTCACTGTAGTTGTTCTAAATCTCTTTGAATTTTCTTCTTTCTGACATTGGTATCTTTATCTTACTATTGTCCCTTCTCGTCCATTTGATCTCATGAACATGCTGTGTTTTGCACAACAGCAGGATTACAATGAATTTAAAATCTGTACTGTCATTTATTCTAGGATAACAAGGACCTAGAATTAGACATTATTCCAGCAAGTCTTTCAGACCGGGAGGTAAAGCTGCGAGATGCAAATCATGAAGTCAATGAAGAAAAAAGAAAGTCGGCGAGAAAAAAAGAGTATGTCCCTAAATGGTCACAGTCTGTCATGACACATGATCTAAGAGTGATTTTATGATATTTGCATGAACAGCACTGACTAACAGTCCTATAACTCCTTCCAGCTGCAGAGCTATTGAGATAAGTCTACAGGTGTAAGGCAGAAGTTGCGACTTTCAGAACATGCAGGTTGAATTTCTTTTTGGTTTTAATCAGAAGTTACTTTTGGAGAAGGAAAGGAATGAGTCAAGCACTTTGATTAGACCCTGATGTCATGGAGATACTCATTGTCATGGTTTCTTTCTTGATGTTTGTAAAAAGTAACATAAAAAGGGCAAAATAAAAAGCATCTTCATATGTCTAGGTATTATCTAAACTCCAATGACATCCAGAGGAGTTAACTGAATTTCAGTGACACAAGAGTTCTCTTGAAGTTCAAATTTCAGTGGGTATAGAACTGAGAGAACTGGAAATATTTCATACTAGAGGAAATACCTGGAGAATACTTGTTGCACATAAAACTAGAAACAGTCTAATTTCACAGTTTGCCACTGCAGGTCAAGTTTCTGGGTGACAGTGCTGACTATTAGTGAAGATGCAGGTGGTGTTGGTGAATCTTAAGCCCTCACTCCTGGGGGAAAAAAAGGTCTGAGAATCAGTTGGCTGTTAAGGATGGGCATGTAGATAGTAAATCACAGTGCAGGGTTGCAGGAATACAACTTCATAGAATTTTTTTGCAGAAAAGATGTTTAGAAAAAAATCTTGCAAGGAACTGGTGTATGAAGTGGCATTTTATTCATGGAGCTGGAAGGCAGCTGAAGGTTTAGAGTGGAAGTACCACAGAAGGATGTTTTGTTTTCTGTTCATTGTACAAATGCCTATAATGTTCAAAACACCTGAAATACTTTTTTTTTTTCCAGATTCATTATGGCTGAGCTGCTTCAGACAGAAAAAGCTTATGTCAGGGACTTACATGAATGTTTAGAGGTAAGTTACAGCCTGGGAAGTCTCCAGTATTTTCAGGGAGGACACAAAATCCTTTGCAATGGTGATGTTCACTGTACTGCAAAGGCTGACCTTGACAAGAGCCTGTGTGAGGGTACCACCGTTGGTGCCTAGCTGCAGAGCTGTGTCCTGCTGGTGGTGGGAGCTGGGCGGCAGCAGCAGGAGCTTGTCTCCCACTGGTAGAACCGTGCCGTGTGCTCTCTACGCGTGGCTCACCCCTGCAGAGTGACAGTAATGTCCTGGGACTCACTAAAGAGCAATGTATTTGCATGTTGACCTGAAATTTGCTGGTTCCTAGTCTTTTTTTGAATCATGGAGCATTTTCTTAAGAATTCAAATCTGTTCTTCTGGATCATCTCATGGTAGAGAAAGACCTGGATGTGCACTGTCAATGGCCTTGCCTAGCTCTACAGCAGGGTGTTCCTGAAGGGGACTGTGATGTTCAAGGTAAAAAGCAGAGTGTATTCCAGAGAAATCTGTCAGCTTTCACATTCCTGCAGTTTGAAAGAGATTTTTATGTACTTAATGCTACTGAAGTGGCAAATCCAACTTTCAACTGTTTCTGCCTGCAGTTTTTGGACACCATCAGTTGGACAGCAAAGACAGGTGTTGTTGGCGTGTTTCTGCTTTCTCCTTAGACAACATCTATGTGTCAGCACTTTGAATTTCTCTGGAGAGCCTTCTGTGATACTGGAACATTTATTTATTTTTTTCGCTTGTTTGTTTAATCTCAAAGTACATAGTTCCCTTGTCAGCCTGTGCCTTTGGCAATAAAACAGGGAGATCTATTCTTTTTCACTGCATCTATTCACAAAGCTAAGAATTGCTGGTGTCTTCCAGACTTACCTTTGGGAAATGACAAGTGGAGTGGAAGAAATACCCGCTGGGATCCTTAATAAAGAACACATCATCTTTGGCAATATTCAGGAGATATATGACTTTCATAACAAGTAGGTTTTCCTAACAGTTCTGTTAATGTTTACTGACTGAGGAAACCAAAGATATACCTATACATGTGCGTGGTGTCTGCAGTGAATTCCTACAGTACAATGCACACAGGAGGGTAAAGTAATTGATCCTGATTTGGAAAATAATGTTTGATTTCTTGTTTTGTTTATTTTACAAAAATGAATTGCATCTTGGTTTAAACTTCACCTTCAGCTGATTAACTATATAACGTTGTAATATACCAGTGCTTTGTAGTTCTGTACATGCTTTCCATCTCACAGCACTAGATCTAGTCTAGAAGCTGGCCTGTCAAAAATATGATCTCTTGGAAAACATGGGAGGAAAAAACTGAATGGTTGACATGAGCTGGGTGCTTTCCCATCACTTCTTGGAGACACTCTGTATTTAATCTGTAACTAACAGACTAACTAATCTGTAACTAACTTATCTTTTATCAAGATAAGACTGTGCATCAAATCAGTTTGGAGGGCGTTGTTTCCCTGCTATAATGTGAATGCAATAACAGTTATAAACTTAACGTTTAGGGGTGCTGAATCCCACAAGTTCAGTCTGAATTTCAAAGTCTGACTTCAAGTTGTGCATCAAAACCAAAGCAGTTTGAAAAACAAATCGGAAAACCCTTCCCTGTTGAATTTCTGGGAGAGTTTCAGTGCCTCAGCCAGGTAAATGAGCCATCCCATACACATAAATATAGTCCAGCAGAGGCTGCCATGTGCATGCTTTTGTGCAATGAGCTTCAAACCGTATCAGGATAGTAGATTTCAACTACATATTATATTTAAAAGGCCTTTAAATAATAGATGAATCAACTTCCAGCCCACAAGAATTGCCCTGTCATACAGGTAAATATTCTTCACCTATTTAAAACTGTGCTAGGATCACGCAATTGCCCACCCACCTTCTCTCTCTTTGTGGTGCTATATTTTCTTTTTACTGACCCTGACGGATGCTATCTGATTACTCTCCTTTTTCACTTCTCCTTGCTCCCAGCTACCACCCCTTCAGCCCTCTGTCATGCCCCTCAGCTCCTTGCCGCTGTCATTTCTCCTTTCTCTGATCCATTCTCCTCTAGTCTGTTGCTTCTGCATAACCCTGTTTCCAGAAAAACTTCCAGCAATGATAAAATAAATTGCCCCCCTAGCCCGACAGCTCCACCAGCATACTCCAAAATCTTCTCCTTTGGCTGCTGCTGTTAAGGCATCCCCCAGCCTGATGCAGCTTGCTTCTCCTTCTGCAACTTCTGTTTCACATTCCTCTTTCCACCCAGGCATTTTACAGGACTCTAACTGCAAGCAGAGATGTTACTCGTGGTACAAGGTGTTAGGAGAGAGTTGATTATAAAATCTGTATTTTGGGAGTTTACTACTGACCTGTGAAGTTCCAAGCTTGTTTAAATTCTTGCCCTTTTTCCAGTGTGCCAGGTTTGGTGATGGAAAGCTGGCAGCTTTGGGTTTCATTTTTTGCCCTTCCTCTGAACCACTGCACAAGATCTTTTTGAACATTTGTGATCTGGTTATTGAATATCACTTTGCAGTTCTGAATACACTGACCCCCTACTAGGGATTGCTACCTTTTCCTTTCTAGTGGAGTTGGGCATGACTGTCCTCAAAAAACAAAGCACACCTTGGCAAGGACACACTTTTTCCACTAGCAGGACACTTGATTAGCCTCATAATCAAGATACAAGTATTGATCATTAGCACTGATTAACTCGTTGGTCATTCTGCTTCTCCTGGGTATTTGGCTGTAGCTAATTACATCGGTGTCTTTTTTTTCAGCATTTTTCTAAAAGAACTGGAGAAATACGAACAACTGCCTGAGGATGTGGGCCACTGCTTCGTCACCTGGGTAATGAGGCTGCTTCTTTTCATTATTTATTCAAATTAATTCCTCCAGCACAGATGGAAACAAGCTGGGAATTGGCGCAAGGGTTATGATCTCAGTGATAAGTGACATTAGGAGCTAATCTGGAGCTACAACTGCTTTGTCCTTTACCTCTCCTAGGGTGAAAGGCTCCATCCCTTAACTCTTATCCTGAGCAATGGTGTGAAGGCTTTCCAGAGCCTCTCTCCTTGTCCTTCACTGACCAGCACAGCTTTTGCCTCTGTTGGCTCCTATTTAACAGGGCTTCATCAAATCAAACCTGTATTTAGGGGTGACATTCATTTCTTTGTGAAGGGCCCTGAGAGAACAGACACTTAAAATCTTAATATACCTTCCTTAGAGAATTTTAGTCATGCCGTGAGACCTCTATAAAGGCATGAACAACATATTTAATCAACACTTTTCTTCAGAAATTAGTGTCAAATTGCTGAGCCACTGTGCTCTTTCATTCCATTACCCAGTGCCAAGATAATTTCCATCAGAACTTTGAAATCTTGATGCTGAGAGTCTTCACAGGCGTAGGAAGCTCCAGGAATTGGCTACAGTAATTTATATGTATGAAAGCTGTTCTTTTTTCCAAAGTATTTATCATGCAAGTCAGCCATCTTAATGGTTTCTCTGATGGTTTTATTCATATTTCAAAGCTGGGAATTAGTATTTTAAGTCACTACGGAAAATTTTCACTTATAAAAAATGGGCAAGTTTGGATGACTTCAAATGGGCTTTTAATTTAAAAACATTACACAAATATTAATGAAATTGATTCAGAAATATTATTTACAAAGTGGAAGAAGTTACATATTTATGAAAGACTCATTTATGTATCATACTGTACAAAATCTTCATAGTACTTTTAAGATACTGCCACATCATCTCAGCAGTAGTACATGTCCAGAGCTGAGTGTATGGTTACAGACATGCATACAAAGCTGACTGCCGAATTGCGGGGTCCTGTTATTTAGATACCTGGTATAAAAAATGCAACAGGAATAAAAGGAGGACATCCTCCTCTTCTGTTTGCCCGCCTCTCCTGAGACCAGAGTTTAGTAATACAAAACTGCTCTGAAGCAGGAGTGCACAGATGCTTTTAATTTGCTCTTAAAAATAAATAAATTAGGAAATGAAATGCATAACACTCCTAGCACAACATAAAGTTTGAGCCATTAAAGTCTGAACCAAGGTAGGAAAGGCAAATTTGGGCCAGGCGTCACAAATCTGAGCCAGTCTCAAGGCAAAAATGATGGCTTGAGCCCGTTTAATCCAGGTAAGTCTCTTGCCCAGAGTTTCAACACTCTGTTTATCTGCAAGTAGGTGATAGAGCCAACACTTCATGACTGGGTTTTGAGACCTACAGTCTTTTGGATACAATCTGTGTAGCATCATTAGAGCTCTTAGAAATTATTTTGTAGCTGGATTGAAGTTTTAGGCCTTCTGTCTGTGAAACTCATTAAAGAAAGCCTCCCTTCGCTGTTACATGGTGCACCTCATTCCCCTCAGAACTGCTCAGGTAAGGTATGAACTATCTGTAAGTCTTCTGTTCTTAATTTGCAGTTCTTGTGTTGCTTTGAGAGGTGGGGGTTTATCACCTGTATTTATCCTGGTGAGCCTTAATGAAAGACTGTGCGAGCAGAGGAATATCTTATCTTGCTTTTCCCTTGATGTTTGTTTTCACAGGCAGATAAATTTCAGATGTATGTCACCTACTGCAAAAACAAACCTGACTCCAGCCAGCTCATCCTGGAACATGCAGGGACTTTCTTTGATGTAAGCACCCATCATCATTTTCCTTTCTGCATACGTAGTGCAGCTGAAACACCTCCTCTTTACATCTGAGCAATGGATTTCTTTTTGTGCTTTGGCATTTGGGTTTTTCATTTCACTGCAGATATCACATGCTGTAAAAACTGATAGGCTGTGTGATTTGTGATCTTAATCAGTGTGGCAAGCCATTTTTAATGGAGACACACATTCTTATGGGAGCTTTTGTGCATTTTTCAGACCCAATCCTTTCTAAAGATCTGGTTTAGATGTACTCTCTACTTCTGGGTTTAGTGGTAAAATGAAAAGCAGATCCCATTATATTTTATGACCTGAAATCCCCAAGTCCAAAACAAGATCCTGTCCTCCTGTTCTGCAAATTTTACCCACACTATTAAACATTTACTTCATCATCCTAGCAAGGGTCTCCATTGACTGCAATTAGGCTATTTCCCTTACAGGTGCTACACCTGGTGATCAACATTTGCAGGCTCCAATCCCAGTTTTGTAGGCTGAGAAAAATCTTTAAAGTTTTTCAGTTCTTTTAAACGAAGCTTTCCCTCTGATCTTTGGAACCTCAACCATTTTTCTATGCTTGTCTGCTACCTTATAGCTTTAATCAGTTGTCTTTCTGAAAAAAATGGTAAGACCTCTTTTCCAAAGCATTGAAAATCTTTGTACAAATGTACAGCAGGATCCAACCTGTGATGTGGTTGGCAGCTGACATGAATGAGCTCCTCTGGGTCTTGTATGTGCCAATGGTTATAGCGTTTCAATTAAACTCCACACTGAAAGATCTCACATGTGCCAGAAGAAAAGTGATTAACATGTTTTTCTTTTGCCTTGTTACCAAATGGTCTAAAAGTAGAATTGAACTGAAAGGGATTTTCCAGGAGGTGGCGCTTGAGCCTGTTGAATGGTTTGTACTGGTTGGTGACTCGTGGAGGGCTTGAGCGGCCTTGGGTGTCTGTCAGTTGTTCGCACAGGTTAAAACGTTTGCTACGCTTTTCCACTCCCGCGCTGTATATGGGCTGGAAACCTGCCTGGTATTGCTTAATAGTGAATATTCATATGTCCCCATCTGTCCATTGGTGGGAACTGTGCTGGGCTACCCAGTGATGCCTGTGCAGAAGGAGAAAGCTGCCTATCCCCCCAAATAAAATGTTCTAGCAGTTAGTCAGTCTGAGTGACTGAGGTAGTGCGAAGTACCTGTAGATCCTTCTTATCTTGGTCCTGGCAGTGGTTCAGTGGCAGGTCAGGAGACAGTCTGACCTGAGGGACATGGAGGAAATCGCTGGTTCTTTTCTTCTAGGCAGAACCTGGAATTTCTGAAAACACCCTGCTGACGAGAGTGAGTTATCTAGAATAACACCCCATAGTCAGAAGCCTGTTTGAAGATCACAAGTGTACAACCCCTCAAATTGCATAAACTATCATAAAAGAGATGAAAACAAGCAGTCCCAGTAGTCTGTCTGAACCCTTCAAGTCCATGGAAAATGTGCAGCTCCAGGGCAAATTGCAAGGGTTAGCTAATTAGGAGAAGGAGCAAAGATAACTGATGTATCTCATTTGAAACTGTGAAGAGAATTACTAGTGATGCTATCATAGCTGGGATGTTCTAAGGACATAAGTGAAGCCATAAGTGTAGAGAAAAGCAGTTTCTTTTCTTAGAGCAGTTGATATGTGTGGAAAATTATGCACAAACTCTCAGTTGTAAAATTTGCCTTGTTTATGCTATAGCATTGGCCTAATAAAGGATATAGATTACTGTCTTCTCTCCCTACACATCTTGCTTTGCTTATAAAATTCAGAAGTTGTTGGTATGGTTATATTAGCTGGAAATTGAATAGGGAATTGAACTAGTGTGCTTACCCTTTCATACCTGCAGTAGACTGCTTTGGTTCTTTCACTTTATGTATTGGGTCTTGTTCATCATCTGAGAGTATTACTAGAATACTTAAAACTGTGTTCTTCATTCAGTAGTTTCAAAGATAAATGATGCCTACCATCTTTAGCAGTTTTTAGTATTTGTAATACTGTATACTTCGGGCTAGCAAGATATATTTTTGATTAGCAAGATATGTTAGCCCTCAGCTTCAGCTCATGGAACTCAGTATATTATTGAGATAATAGAGTTGACTGTAGTGTCTATTATTTAAGTGAACTTTGGTCCTCGGGACAAAGGGTTTGGTTCGGTCATCTATGTGCTTTTTTCCCTTTAAATCCTGGGAAAGATCAGTTGTTATATTCAAGAAGCCAAATGGCACCTTTAATTTGCATGACCAGCATTTAGAGAGTGGAACATGGTAAAGCTCATTGGCTTTGGTAGCATTGCAGAGCATTGTGTTTCTCCATGGATGATGATTCTTGGGCAGTTTCTCTGCTAAGCTGGAGTGTCCCTTAGAAAATGGGCAGATATGCAAACAGGGTTTCAGTTTCTCCTTAGTAATATTTTTTCTGAAATTGCTCACCAAAGGTTTGTGTCTTACATTACAAAACCTGAATCAATCTACTCAGCAAGCCATTGGTCTGTACACCCAGCTCAGAATGCAGTTTGTCTTCCTGACAAAGAACTGTACACAATTAGATGACTTATCTTAATCTGGGGACACTTTTCCTCCCAAGGAATAACTTCCTTCCCAAGGAATAACTAAAGTTGTGTCTAGCAGTCAACCATGGTGCACTATAACGTGAATCAAGCTTGCTTTACACAAAAAGCAGGGCAAAGTAGAGAGCACAGAGCCCTGTGGGTAGCCAGCTTCTGAAACCTGCCAGCTGCTTTAATGCTAGCTCAGATATCTCTCTGCTTTATGTTCCTTAGAGGTGTGTTAGAAACGTCTGCACTACCACCACTCAGTCTCTGCAGTCAGACCAGGGAGCATCCTGCGTGGAGCAAGGAACATTCGAAGGGGAGGCATCTTGCTGGGAGCGTGCCCTGCTATTCAGAGAGCTGGGAGGAAGGAACAGCAATAAATTCATTACTTGAATCCTACAAAAACAAGTGTACCTAGCCAGCTCCAGGAAGTTCACAGGCATGGCCGAGGTCTTGTTGGCTCCTGCAGTTACTAATTGAGTCCCAAGCCATGTGCTCTGCAGACACCGTCCCTGTTTGGAGCCAGCCATGACTCAGCTTCATGCAAAGTCCATTAACCCTGACACAGAGCCCCTTCCCTTTTGAGTCTTGTTGATGGCATCAGGGATATCTTTCTAAAACTTGTCCAGTACAATAAAAAAAATAAAAATTCTGTTAGCACATTGTGTGAAAAGTGGCTATTTTTGCAACCCAGCATAAACACTGGAGATAAAAAAAACCCACTAACCTCCCTAGTACTCAGCAGAAAATCAGGCTGTAGAGAGAAAGAAAATATCTGTTCTTGGCAGCTCTTCCCCCTTCATCTTCTGTCACTTCTTCCGTTCACAGCCTCAAATTTACCCTCCAGTAGCTGGAGATAAGTCCCATTCCCCCTTCCTTGGTTCCCAAGGAAGCAGAAGGGATTTCCTGATGGCCAAGAGCAAGGGGAGGCATGCCCAAGGCCTGGAGGAGAGAGAAGGAATTCCAGCTTGTTCTATTTCAGCAGAGAATCTGTCCCTATAGGACATGAGTTTGAAGTCTCTTAGGTAGCTAAATAGGGATCCTGTAGGATTTTCAGGGTCTCCTAACTCCCACTGGAACCAGTTGCATCCCTATGCAGCTGGGTCCTTTTCAGGACCTTACCAGGTGCCTATCAACAATGTCTCCAGAAGTTTGTGAGCACATTACACAGACCAGCACAGGTATTTTGGTTGAGATTCAGGTGACAAACCTGTATTCAGTGCTGTAAAAGGCATCATAAGAGTATCTCTCCTGGCCCCCAGCTGCCACCTTAGAATAGCACAGCTCTGTCAGCACTGTGTCAGATCTGTTACTCCCATGAAGATATTTCAGCTACCCCAGGGCTCTCAAATGGTACTAGATGCTTATGTTTAGACAGCTAAATTACACCCTACGCATGCAATTTAATTTAATGTCACTCCATTTTAATTGAATGTTAAAACTGCTTTCAGCCTTCCTAGCTAGGAGAAACCACTTGACATGATGGATAAATCATATTTGCATTGAAGCTGGTGTAGTTTATTCAGCATAGCCTTAGCTTGACTTGCACAGAGGCCCTGCAGCTTAGCTGGCCTTAGGGAGATTCTGCAGTTTATTGCCAGTCTCTCTGAAACCACAGTTGTTTGCATGTGAGCTTAAAGAGAGTCAGAAAACTAAACAAAGAAATGCAGAGATCCAGAGCTAAAATTAGTTCTGGGTAGTTCTGTCTGGCAGGGGATTAATAGTTTTCCATGACTGACTGCTGGTTTTATCTCTTCTAGGAAATTCAGCAAAGACACGGTCTGGCCAACTCTATCTCTTCTTATTTAATCAAGCCTGTCCAGAGGATCACAAAATATCAACTCTTACTGAAGGTACCCTAGTGAGCTGCCGAAATCAGCTCATGCAGAGCCGTTAACGGGTCTAATGAGTTAACGTATTCTTAAGGGAGCTGCTTCATCACCTGTTCATGACCTGTAAGCAGCTACTGCTGAACTGCTATTCCTGCTTCCCAGGCTGGAGCATGGTAACAAATCGTGAAATGAGGTTGGATGTTTTGAAGGAAAAGACTCACAGAAAGAGAAATAAAAAACAAACAACCCAAACAAACAGAAAAATACTGGTCACTTGTTTCAACTGGCATTTGTTGGGTTTTTTTTGTTATCCAAGTGGATTTAACCCTAAAAAGTGAGAACTGGGAAAGGGAACTTGTAGGGATGACAGAACTGTTTGGTTTCCTTCTTGCTAAGTTTGCGACATGCAGTATTTTGATTAAAGGCTTCAATGACTGCAGTAATGAACTTCAGGAAATTTCACTCCTTCACTGGCATTAGATTCTGTTTGGGAGCTAATACGTTTGTGTTTGAAAAACAGGGAAAAACTTCATATACAAAGCAGGGACTTTGAAATGAAACATTAACGTTTCCTGTAAAACAAACAAAAAAACCTCCCACCTTTGTTGGTTTGTTATAAACTGATTACAAGTTTTTCCAGTATCTTGTGAGTAGCTGAATTCTGGATCTAATTTAATCTGCTATCATTCACTTCAAAACTAGTAAACCAGAGAAAAAGAAAAATCTGGGAAATAAGGGAAGAGGCAGATTCTGACTTTGAAAAGCTAGGACCAGATACTCACATCTCTTTAAAGCTTCCTGTGTATATACTGAAGCAGTGATACGCTATACTAGGGAGGTGCTTACTGAGTACGTTCAATGTGGTGACTGTCTTGTGCCTTATACCAGTTTACTACAACACCACACAGGCTTACCATAGTCTTGTGAGTGCAGTGGGACAGCGAGCGTGCAGTGCAAAAGCCATCTGCTAATGGGAAGGCTGAAACACCCCTGCAGTCATCACCCTTTTGGTCTCCTCCTCAGGTGAATCTTTCCTGAAGGGACCTCCCTGCCCTGGGCATAGCACACTGCCAGCCCTGCCTGCACTGCGGTACTCACCAGCACTGCTGGATCAGGCAGGGGTTCTGGAACCCAGCAGGACTGAGATACAAATCCCCAGAAACCCTCTACATGCAGAGTTTCACTCAAGAGCACCTTATGTTCTCTTGCTTGATAGTCATTCCCATTTGATCCCCACTATCTGTGAGCATGCACAGTGTTTTGATGCACTTCAGCTTTCTCCTGCCTCTGTTAGCGAAGCAGTTGTAACTTTGGGTTCTGCTTGCCAAGAAAACCAAGCCGAGTTAAAGCCATCTTATTAGTCAGAGTTTGTTTACAGGTGTTCTGCATTGCTTCATAGGAACTGCTGACCTGTTGCGAGGAGGGCAAAGGGGAACTCAAAGATGGCCTGGAAGTGATGCTCAGTGTCCCAAAGAAGGCCAACGACGCAATGCATGTCAGCATGCTGGAAGGTAGCAGATGGGCAAGTGGCTGGGGCAGGGGAGGGACACACCAATAAAAGAAGCCTTCTTGTAACTTGTGTAGAAAGTTAGTGCAGGTTGACTGTGGCAATGCGGTTGATTGATCATAATTTTCATGTACTTCCTCTCTCCTTTCTGATATTTCTCCAGAAGTCTTGGAAGAGTAAAGCTGGCTAGGAAGTTTTGGGGTTTTATTTATTTATATGTTTTGTGTGTGTATATGTGTATTTATATGTATATAGGTACATGTATACACACACGTGTGTGTATATATGCTTACATGTACAACATATACAATGTGCATATATATTTGGTTAAAACATTTTTACTTAATGAAACAAAAACCCCTCCTGAAACAGTACCAATTTAGCTGCTGGCAGCCATAACAATTACTGGATGAAAACATTTCTAAATATTGTCTCAACATTTCAAAAGAAAAAGTTCTGTGTTTTTGAGTCAAAACAGCTTGTACTTCAGAATGTTAGTATAATTATCCCAAAGATTAAAATAAAAGAAAAAAGTCTTATTAAAATGTATTTTAAAATTACAGAAGAAATATTCTGATTGCCCCAAGGTTAAGTCTTTTTTTGGCTTTTTGATGTGTGGAATATTTCTAAAACTTAAAAATTTTATTCTGGACAGAGATGTTTTATTGTCTCAAACATTTTCTTGGCCTCAGAACATTGTTTCCAGCCTGGCTTGAATGAGAACCAGGAAGCAAGAAGAGTACTAAAACAGGCAAGAAAAAGGAAATGGTGCCAGTAGCTAAGCAGTACATTAAGACCAGGTGATTAGAATTGAAGGGGGACAAACCGACCCAGCATAGGTGGAAACACTATAAAGATGATTATAGCTGTCGTGTCTGGTGAAAAGTAAGCTTTCCCAAAAGAACACCTGGATGATCTGTCCTCATTAGATGACCAGCACCATGCATTAATAAAGAAGCAGGGATGACTTTGTTGGGGTAGACAAGCACTTGGACAGTTGTCTTCTGAATAAAACATTCTTTCTGAATATTTGGAGCAGGGTCTAGGGCTGCTTGCTGCTCCTCCAGGGCTATCTGGCATGAGCAACAGCTGGCTGTGCTGGTGGAGGATCAGTCCTCAGCTCTGGAGAGAAGTGTGACCCACAAGCTGTTGAGATAGGAGCCTGGAGGGCACCTTGCACTAGGGACTCCTTTTTCCCTCCAGACTCACAGTTCTGGAGAGTGAGTCCTGTGATCCTCAGCCATGTGGAGGTTTTTGGCATGCAGCTTGGAAGATGAGAAGCTCCTCCTGCAAAGCTGGTTTCAGACACCATACCAATTCATTCTCACCAATGTAGCTGCCCCATGACACTGCTGTGGACTCAGAGGCCCCTGAAGGTTGGGTTAGCATGCTTGAAGGTATTATGGTATGATGGGGCTCTTCCAGCCACTGCACATTAGGTTTCTCTGAATTTGTGTTGACCTGCATAAGATTCCTTGCATTGTAGTTCTGTGTACAGTAACCACCACTGAAACCTTTATAATATTTATCTTTAATTACTACTACGCTTAGCAGCAGTCTCACTTAGTACGCATGACGTATTTTCCTCTGGCGAAGTAATTATATAATTGCAGTAGGAAGAAGGAAAAATATTTTCACTGGGGCAATGGATGCCCATTAATGTTCTTTCAAAATATGCATTAAAAAAGAGAAAGGCCCTTTTATTTCAAGACCTTACTGCTCTGGTGTTTCTAGGCATTACTGTTCCCAAGAGGAAATACAAGCCAATGTATTTTGTGGTTTTAGGGTTTGATGAGAACCTGGACGTCCAGGGAGAGCTGATTCTTCAGGATTCCTTCCAAGTGTGGGATCCCAAGTCTCTCATTCGGAAAGGCCGTGAGAGGCATTTATTTCTCTTTGAAATCTCTTTGGTATTTAGCAAAGAGATCAAAGATTCTTCAGGACACACAAAATATGTTTACAAGAACAAGTTACTGGTAGGTGTGGCTGCAAAGAAAATGTTCTTGGTGTTGTGTTTCTTGTGGGTAGAGGTGGAGTTTGGGGGATATGGCTCACATGTCCCCACGATGGGTTGGGGATACTCATGCCAGGCTGGCTCTGGGCTCTGTGGGGCTCAGCTGGAAGCCAAGCTCACAGAGAGTCTGGAGAGGTTTAGGATAGTGAGATGTGAAGGGTGGGCGGGAAATGCAAGGAAGATCACTCAAGCCATTCACTTCACTGCCATTCCCTGCTGGTTTTCTGTTTCTTTCATCTGTGTGTAGCAAAGCAGAGACAAGATCTTACTCCCTTATGCAACCCTGCCTCCCCACTTCTCCCTATAAATGTAGTTTTCTGGACTCTTGAGGCTTCATATATATGAAAACTCTCATCATCTCTCCTCCACGCTAGACCTCAGAACTGGGAGTGACTGAACACGTTGAAGGAGATCCTTGTAAATTTGCTTTGTGGTCTGGACGAACACCATCCTCAGACAATAAAACAGTGCTGAAAGTAAGTCTTTTCTACTTGTTTTCTTTGCCTTTAGAGCTGCTAATTCAGGCTTGGGAGCACTAAATGAAGGGTCACTTTCTTCCCTCCTCATGTTCACATGGCTTCCACGAATGTCAGCAGGGTCATGCCTGCATCAGGAGCAATTCAGCTCCATATGACTCAAGATGGTGCAGTTGAGCAGCCTTGATGAAATTGCATTTCCTCTTGCAACCTGAGTTAAGCATCTGCTCACTAACAGCACACATCTCGGGGTGTTTGACAGGGAGGTGTAGTTCTCTTAGTCCTTTGCCACTGGGCTTATTGACAATCAACCTGTTCCTCAGACTTCCAGAGCTGATAGCCATTTCTGCCAAGCGAGGGTCTACTGAAAAATTCATGTTACAGTTATTTTGTCTAAGGAAATCTGTGCATTGATAACCCTTTTCCCCTCTACAGCACATGCTGTATTGCTAGCATTAAATATATTTATCCAGAGCTTAGCTGCTTTGCTGTTGCTTGCCAAGTAGGTCTGGTAAAAATACCCTCAGTTCTTCTGGGGTTACCAGGTACTCCAGCAGCTAAAACAATACAGCAGAGAGGAGAAACAGTTGATCATGCATTTTCACTGGCCAACCACGATTCTTCTACATAGGATGTGACATGCTGGGAATATGATAAAGTGTCTGTCTTTCTGCCTTGTGGAACTTTAGGCATCCAGTATTGAAACAAAACAGGAATGGATCAAAAATATCCGTGAAGTCATTCAAGAAAGGATTATCCATCTGAAGGGAGCTCTGAAAGAGCCAATTCAGCTCCCCAAGACACCAGCAAAGCAGCGAAACAACAGTAGAAGGTAACCTCAGTCATTCCTTACAACATGACATTACTAGCATTTTCTTGACCAACAGCAGTGTAGTGTCTGTGGGCTTTCTACTGGATTAACTCACTTTTTCTTACTGTAGTCAAAAGCAGTTTTCATCATCTTTGCCTTTTATATGTTGTCTTGGCAAAAGTAGCTAGAAAACGTTTCTATGATATACATACACAGGTCTTTTATTTTGGTACTCCAAAGTATTAGAGAGAAATGAACAGTAGAAATTCTTCAGAGTCCAAGGTTATGTTTCTTTCCCAAACTACAATTTACTACTTCGCATTTGAGTATTAACTTTTTCTTTTTCCATTTGGCATTTTGAATTGTTTGGTGATTAAAAGCACAGCTGGCCATGACAATATCAAAATCTGTGTTTTATCATCAAATACAAACTTATTTCAACCTACTATTTTTTGTGAACTTCTCTGAATCCTAGTTAAATAGAAATTATAGAAAATTAATTGTTCTTTTGCTGTCATGGTGGTATTCCCAAAAGCCGCCTGTAATTTGAGCATCTCCATTTCCTCATCAAGTTTTATCACTCTTTTAATTCAGGCTGTATTATAGAGGTATTCAAAGCATGAATAACCAGCATCACCCGGGAGACCACAGGCAGAGATCCAGACATTTCTTCCTGGGGACATGCACCAAAACAGGAGTTTTATAGTACAGAACAGGGATCTTCCTTTTTTTTTTTCTTCCCCTTAAATATGTATTTTGGATTATTTAAATGTTTATTATGAAAGACCAGTAAAAATTTAAGAGAACCGTATCTATACAGTGAAAGGGAAGAAAATACCCTCTGTTAGCAGACTCATAGAGGTAGACTTGTAGAGCTCTATGCTGTCTTTATTTATGTTTATTTGGGTATCATTTTTATGGCTTAGTATTAAATTCCTGAAATTGTGGTTCCTGTGAGACAAGAGAAATACCCCTTCCTTCATGTGTAGCCTGGGCTGAATGGTTTTGGTTAAGGCAGAAATAGAATTGAAGGCAAATTTCTGCTTGACACCCTCATTACAGAGCTATATCTGTAATGAGGCACCAGAGCCTTCTATGCTGTAAATATGCAGGTAATGGCCATCCTGTTTCCAGCAACAAACGTGATTATGTGCTAATCTCAACCCTATAGCTGAGGGTGACATCATTTTAAATTGCAGGCTACATAGCAACATGGGCTGCACCAGTGAAGTAATTTTAGCACAAAGCCAGCTCTGGCATGCTGACTCGGCACTTCTCAAATCCACCTATAAAGTTGTGCTCATTCCAAGGTGGTGTGTTAAGTGAGCATCATTTTTTTTCCTATTATGGTTTTTGCAGAGATGGAGTAGATGATGCCGACAGCCAAGGAGATGGCAGCAGTCAACCTGACACCATTTCCATCGCATCCAGGACATCACAGAACACAGTGGACAGCGATAAGGTAGGACTGAAATGTGAAAATACACTGCAGCTAATCGACCCTAGAAACATGTAGGTGAAGAGCAGAATAGAAGGCAAAATAAAAGAACCTGTCTTCTACTGAGTGAGGCAAAACCTGTATTCCCCTATGCTAGGCTATGAAAATCCAGTCTGTTTCTAGCTGTCCATCAGTACTGCTGTTTTACATAGTAACATCTCTGTTGCTGCAGCTTGTTTGTGGTTAATACACAGAGGATGAATTTGCTCTGAAGAGCCACAGCCCAGAGCAACCTTTTCTTCTGTAGTAGAACTTGTTCTGTGGGAGCCAGCTTCTGAATCAGCAAACAGCTGGTTATTTTCCGTATTTGCCCTCTGAGCTAAAATTAGTAGTTTGTTGAAGGGAATACAGGTGCTTACACACCAATTAATACGGAAAAATTGGGATCCTGGCTAGTATCTTGAGAGCCTGGGAGACCTACTCTTTCCAGAGACTGTGATTCTGGACCTCTGTCCTTGCGGACATATGGTGGAGCATATGGATCACCCTGAGATGCACTAGATTCTGTTGGAATGCTGCACACTGTCAGCACGTATGTACTCGTCATTTTACTTATCAGACAAACTGAGTCCAGATTCCCAGCGCCACTAGGATGCCTGACTTCAATTTGTCTCCCTGATACCTCCAGCTGTGGTCTTCAGCCAAATTAGCAGTTGCTGGTAGGAGTAAATGGGCTGTTAGCAATTATTTACCTTAGCTACGGTGTTGATGTTTGTCATTTCCACTGAGAGAATATCCATGTTCTCTTCGTGTGTTGTTTTGAAATCATGTACAACTTGCAAAAGGATGAATTCTGCAGTACCATTATATATTTATCTGTTTGTCAAGGCTTTAATTATGCTGCCACTTCTACAAGGTAGAAAGGCGTCTTCACAAAATCAGAGTTCAAGTTTATGGTTGTAAAGTGCACAAGTAAGGTTCAGTGCAGATGCTATTTTGAAAGCTGGACTCGGAAATAGGAGTTAATTGCAAATAAATTACCTTTGTAAGAACACCTGTTGTATTTATCTTGAAGGCATGTTCCCATGCTTTTGCTTTTTTTGACCAATAATGTGCATTTGAAAAGTATTAATCCTCACAATCCAAAGGCCACTGTAATGTATGCAAATACTTTGCCTGATATCAAAGTGTTTTCTTATGTCTTCAACCCACATGGTCTTGCCCTGCTTTTCCATGTTTTTCACATTTATCATTCCTGAGAAAGGCCCTGACTTAGTAGAGTACTTGAGTTCATGCTTAATTTTAAGTGTTTGCATAAGCTTTGCTCGTTTGCCCCAAGCCCATTGACTCAGCTGCATGAATTATGGCAGACAGGCAAGGTGTAAGTAAGCTGCTCCATACTGCATGCTATAGCCAGCAGCACACGAAACAGTCAGGCTGTAGACAGACTAAAGACAGCACATCATGACAACGGTTGTTTAAGGATGCAAGACTGGAAAGGGTTAGAGGAATTTCTGTCCAAAACCGTGTTTAAACCAAATGATTAATGTGTATGAGATAAACTGAGCACCAGCTTATACAGGGAAAAATTTGTTACTACTGGGGAAAGGCTAAATCAGTTCTAAGGTTGGGTCTTGTCTTTTACTTTCTTAAGGTGGGTAGGTTCACTTGCTGACTTAGAGCTTACTGTGTGTTTGTCTGTCCTTATATACATTTAATTAACAGAAACAAAGCTTAAACATACTTGTATGTACTTTGTTGAATCTGAGCAACTAGTGTATCTTCCGGAG